CCACTGTGAGTATACATATATTTTTGCTACCAGTTGGTGCAAGACAACTTTATGTGTGGCTAATGTCCTAAATTGGGTGTCCTTAAGCATAGCAACTCTCTTTATTCTTGCATAAACAAGGAAACCATGACTCTATTAGCATTTTCTATGCTGGTGAGTGTAAATATTTAATAAAAGAAAATAAGCTGAAGGTTCTCTAATTGGATTGGTTTTAATTTTTATTTATTTATTTATTTATTTATTGCCAGTTGTGGGGCCTGAACTCTGGGCCTGGGCGCTGTCCCCCAGCTCTTCAGCCCAAGGTGAGCACTCTACCACTTGAGCCACAGCTCTACTTCTGGCTTTTTTTTTTCTACTTATGTGGTGCTAAGGAATCGAACCCAGGGCCTCATGCATGCAAGGCAAGCACTCTACCATTGAGCCACCTTCCCAGCCCTGATTTTTATTTTGAAGTGTTTACAGAGTTTCAAAGAAAAATGATTAAGAAGAAAAGTCCAAATCCATACATGGAGTTGGAGAAAACATGTTTAACTTTTTGTGCTTCCAGTAACGGAGTATTCTTATGTTAAAGCACAGCGTCTTCCTTTTTAGGCTGCAAACATTCACAGATCATGTAACTGCTCTGCTTTTATAACCATACTGTAAACCCCTCCCTGATCCAGAATAATTGGTTGTGGAATTTTAATATAGTTGGGTTACTAACAGTTTGTATGTATATATGAAACACAGCAATTTCAAAGGATTCGTAGACAGTAAAATGTGCTTAATTTAATCACCTCAAGCTCATTAGGGAATGGGAGATGGTAACGTAGTCAATATGATAAAAAAATATTTATTTTTAAATTTGTATTTTCTCAGGATCTGGTAACATCAGAAATAGCAGTAATGTATCTCAGTAATTCCTATGAAGACAAATAATTTAGAATGGGTGGAAGATAATGGAAAGTTAAACTCTACATTATAACATCTAACCACATTCTCTCTATCAGTCATGGGGCCTGAACTCAGCTCCTGGACCCTGCCCTTGAGTGTTTTTGCTCAAGGCTAGCCATCTATCACTTTTTGAGCTACAGTGCCACTTCGTTTTCTGATGGTTAATTGGAAATAAGAGTCTCATGGACTTTCCTACCTGGGCTAGCTTTGAACCACAATCTTCAGACCTTTGCCCCCTGAGTAGCTAGGATTATAGGCAAGAGCTACCGTGCCCAGCTTTTTAGATTCTTGACAGTAAGCTTGATGTCATATGCTATAAATTATTTGTTGACATAGATAAAAATAAGGTCCTCTAAAGTTTGTCAGGATAGAGTTAAGTCTTCTGAATTAGGGAAAAATGTTACAGTTTTATATATAAACAAATTCCTTTCTTCTCTTTTCCCAAGAAATGCTGCAAAAAGTAAAAGAACTAAAGCTTTTTGTATCATTGTATTTCAATCCATCTATAATTATGTGCCCTATGAGGGGACATGATACACATTCCACACACCTGTGCAACCCTTTATTAAAGCAACAATCAAAATACAGGATGGATCACATGGTTTTAGTTTTTTTGCCACAGTAATATCAACTTATAGTCATTTGTTTACATCTTTAAATTATTTTTTAAAAGGTGAACAGTTTATAGTTCTCAAAATCAGCAGATTGACAGTTCTTTCCAGGTACATTTTTGTTTTTAATCTTGCCTTCTAATTTAACAAAGAACAACCAGAACTACTGAAATACAGTGAAACATATATAGGTGCAGTATTGATCCTAATTCACTGATCATGGTTTTGTGGTGTAGAAAAGATACCTTATGTGGTCTTAGATATTGATTAAATGAATAATAATTTATGCTAGAATATTCTTAGAAATACTTACTTTCTACCTTTACATTTTCTAGCTTTGATTTTGATTGTAGCATTCTTACTATTAGATCCTCTGTAAGTTCTTTCTCTAACAAGAACCTCATTTTAAAGATGAAAATCATCCTTATAATTTTCTTACATAACAGTTAAGTGTTTAGTCCTTCAGAAAAAAATAAAAACAATTCTGTTTTGATTATTTCTCCCACAGTTGGTTTGTTAATCCAAATTTGTGAGTCACTAAAGAAGCCAAAAAAAAAGTCATTAAGAAAATGAACTTTGTTGGCTTCTTAAAGGACTTTACAGTGAATAGTTGAATGTAAAAGCAAACAATATCTTGTAGGTAACAGGTACTCAGAATAAGTATATGAATATACAATGAGGTTTGGTAGATATTCAAAGAGACCCAGTAAGTCAGTTTAAAAAGTAAGAACAGAAATAGTAATTACTTAACGGACTGCCAAAAGAATAAGTGAGCTAGGCAGAATATGGAACTGTGCTGAAAAAAATACCTGAAACAGAAGTTAATGTTCCATTTTTTTAATTGAATGAAAACACTGAAAAGAAATCCCAGTTTGCAGAGCTTTAAGAGTTCTAGCACTAATAAAACAGTTGTATTCCAAACCACATACCAAAAGGTTAACTGATTTGGCTTTCTAAAAAATTCCTTCCAGTGCTTGACCAGTTTTGCAGTCATGCTTGCTGGTTTCTATCGGTGCACTCACATGCAGAGTGTGCCTGTCCAAAACATGCAAATATTCTTTGTGCCTCACATTTTCTTCATGTGCTACAGAGCTCAGAAGATCTAGATCCCAGTGAACAACAGCCCAAGCTTTAGACTTAAAACATATTATCAGTCTAGGAAAACGATTTCCACCGCTATAGTTAAGACTCATCCATCCATAAAGTTGCTTTCTTGTATTTCACATTTGCCCTTCAAAGGCAAGTTTAAACAACCTAAACTTATGTAATGAAAGATGAAACAAATAATAAAATAATGTAAAGAAGGGAAGAAGATTCCAGAGTCCACGGTGTGGGTTATCAGGTGTTGTCGCCTTAGCTGGTACCAAGGAAAGCCCGTAAGCATCCAAGACATTTGGACAGAAGACATGACACAACAATGCTTGGGATGAGTGAGCACATTCAGACATTTCTAGACCCACTTCTAGACAGATCACATATATCCACATTTGGTTCCTAGAGATTTTAGTCAAGTATTAGTATCACTTTTTGCCACATATGATGTACAAAAAGATGATCATAGCAGCAGATCTGCCCCTAAAGATATGAAAATATAATATATAAAACAAAACCATTATAAATTACATAATTTTTATATAAAATTCTTTTTTATTTCCCATTTAGAATAAATACCATCCAAGTTTATAGATCACCTAAGTGAACTAAATATGCACATATATGTGAAGAATTTTTAGAATTTCAAGAAAAAAAATTGCTGGGATATGACCAGAATGACTCTGAAACCAGATTTTTTTTTTTAAAAAAAGCATGACCTGTATGAGACCTAAAGGGACTTAGTGTTAAACTTTAAAAACTGCCCAAGTTGTCCAAGTACAATGTGCTCAGGCTCACATTCCACTGCACTCCTTTGAATTTCTAAGAGGCTGAACAGTTCACTTTAGTTTTTGAACAAAATGGCTGAGAGTCATGAGGTCTTCTGAATTTCCCATTTTAGCAGGAGGGTCTACCATTTCCTAAAGATGCTGTGAGGTGTATGAAAAGAGAAATTCTCATCATAAGCCAAGCTTCTTTAAGTTGTCTATTGTTACATAATAGCATTTTGATGCCTTAAAGAGGAAGTTTTCAAAAGTCTACACAATCTACCTCACTGCCATTTAAAATAGCAAAACCAATGCAGAACCATTCTTTGGTCACACATTTTAACTCTTGCTACCTACGCTCCCCCACAAAAAAATCTGCCCAATTTTAGTTTATTGTCCCTAATTATTATCTACACAGAATGGATGGCCCCAATCAACATCTACACAGAATGGCTGCCCTTCTTTCCATGTGGAAATCTACGCTTGAGTTTAGGTGGAGTGAGAACTGAGCAGAATGGAGAAAAGTTCACACAGTATCACAAAATGTTTGCAATTCCCTTTTGTTGCTTTGGGCATCTAATTCAAATATAACCATTTTTTAAACAAACAATTGGAAAACTTTTTATGTTCTAAGAGTTTCTGCAATCTACATAGATAAATGCTTTTGCAGAGAGCCCAAACATGAGTCATGGTCCCACTGATTGCTTACTACTAAATTTTTTAGGTGACACTTGAAATAGTTCTAACTAGATAGGAACAGATAATTTCTCTTCAGAGGGATGTCTAGTTAAATGTCATCATCTTGTAAAGTTGCCTTTAATGTCCATTTTATTTATGAATAGGAATATCAAGGTCACTTCTAAATCCAAGCCCACTACCCTCAACTGCAGAGGCTATAAAAGTTTGGGATCACAAAGCCAGGTGCTGGTGGATCATGCCTGTAAATCCTAGCAACTCAGGACCCTGAGATATGAGGACTGCCATTTGAAGCCAGCCTGAGCAGGAAAGTCTGTGAGACACTTATCTCCAGTTAACCACCAGAAAACTGGCAGTGAAGTTGTGACTCAAAGTGGTAGAGTGCAATCCTTAGGCAGAAAGTCTCAGGGACAGTGTCCAGGCCCTCAGTTCAGACCCCACAACTGATACATACACAAAAAAGTTTGGATCACAAAAATGTCCAGTGTCACATACCCATCTGCTTATGTGGTATGGTGGGGACTGTCATAGTTTTCAAACTTCCCAAAAAACTAAATTTTTGAGCTTGGAGGGGTCTTATGGGCCACTGAGTACTACAGAAAAGAAGGGAATCTGTCCATGATCGTTTCCCCAGATGGTGAGAGAGTGAGGACTGAGTATCTGTGTCCTCTCTCCCATTGCTAAGTTACCACATAAACCCTGTCATGCTTACCATACCAATGCGACCAGCACCCTTACACCTATTTTAAGGTTCTGGTCTCCCATGCTTAGAAGTGAAAATGAAGCAATACCACTGCTTCCCACTAAGATTACATGTGAATTGTGCAAGTAGTCCTAGTGGTTTTTTGAGAGGCAGAGGGGTTCCATAAATTGTTCGAAATTTTGAGATTTTTTTCCCCCCAAAACGGAACCTCTTTGAGTAAGCAATGCAGTGTAACAATATTGGAGGAAACTAGAGATGAAAGAAAAAAAATCTTTAAAGTAGCTGTGAAAAAGAGCAGAGATGATCTTATCGATGTGGCTCTCTGAGAGCCTGAGACTGTTTAATGATGTTAGAGGGCTTCATGTTACATAGAGGGAAGTGGAGGCACAGACTTGCCCAAAGCCAGGCAGCTGGTTATTGGCACGGTAAGGTAGGCGCTAAACCTCGGGATGACTAGCTTCATCTTTGTTCTGTAACATCACGCTGCCTTGCATATACTGATGTCTTGTGGGACTAATTCATACATCAACAATTTTGGCATAAAGTTAATGGCATGGTTCTCTACGCCTTCACCTTCATCTTTCCCTCTGCCTTTCAAGGGTCAGTAAGTCAGCTGTGCAGGTTACAAAAGTGGACCTGGTTATGTACTGTACAGATCCTTCTCCTGATGTCCTATCACGTGTATTAGTCCTGACAAACCCTTCTGGGAAGCTGATAGCTACAACTGTAGGAATGATGTTACTTAAATGTAAACCATCCTTTTATAGGAGTGCAGGGTGTACTTTCAAACTTTAATCCTTCCTCCACACCGTAGCTGAGTTCACCAAAAGGCTCTTAGAACTGGACAAGTAAACACATTTTTATTTGACTATTAAAGTGCTATTCTGGGGCAAAGGTTTTCTCAGTTTCACAACAGCAGCTTCAGTGGGGAACTTAAAAAAAAAAAGCAACAGTACTGTATGAAAATAGACCTGGAGAATGAAAAGCAAAGCCAACACCAGAATCAAGGAGCATAGAAACTACTTCGGAAGATTACAAATGACTTCTAGCTATCAGCCCTGGAACTCGGGGAGGCTGATATCAAAAAGCCCATGAGGTAAGTTTCTAAGGAAAACGAAGGACAAAAACGGCAAAGAAGATAAATCAGAAAGATCAATTAAGTATTACTATCATAACAACTATCCCATTGTAAAGGAACAGTGAAGCTAATTTAAACTGAGAAGAAAAGTGCAACAAACCCATGTACGTGCATTTGCTATGGTAACAGACCTATAATTTTTAAAAGGAAAAGCAATGCGGTGTGCATTGGACAGGGCTCTTGAACTCAGGATCTCTTACAGTAAGTGGACTTTGTGCCTAAAGGGCATCACCAATTAAGGGATTTGGCAGAGAATGGCCTCTAAAATTCAAATCACACGGACAGATCCTTTCTGTCCGATATTATCAGTTCTGCACCCTGATGTTTCTCGCATCCTTTTCTACCGGGGAGATTCCAGTCATGTAAGCTGCACGCAGGTGTTTTCCCCTTGGAAAATGGCATCACTCCTACCTAAGGGATGAGAGTCTCCTGGTAAGGCTTAGCGGCAAGTGCGTACTAATCTGTATGACAAGGAGAGCTCCTGATTTTCTGGATATGCATAGCTTTTCGGAGTTGGTATTAGACATGGCTTTCATAAATAATGCAGGTGTTTTTGTCATCTGTCACTGCTGGCTCTGTTGTCTCCATCTGAGCTGGGGGCAGTCCTCGATCCAATACCTCCACTGGCGTGGGCTCTTCAGATGTGAGCTCAGTGGATGTGATGTCTGTGGAAGGCTCTCCAGTTTCTGGTGAACGTTCGGCCGATGGTTCCGTCTCCTCTTCATCTTTGCCCTCTAACTGTACCCCCTCTTGGTCATCCACATGATCTTTTTTGGCCTGGGGGTGCACAGACACCTTGATGGCAATCTGCTGGGGCTGTTCGTGCAGTGACGAGGCGTCTGAGTCGGCCGTGGGAGAGTCGCTTCGCTTCAGAGAGTTGGGGATGGTGTACACCTCATCCCTGTCCGTGGCCTCCTGGCCTTCTGGGGTGTGTCTCACAAAATTTTGCCCCTGCTCCTCCAGCCCAACCACTTCCATGATCTCCTCCATGATGGTCCTGCAGTTCATAATGAGAGGGGGAAGAGGTACACTCCTGGCAAGCTCTTCAATGTAACGGGCAAATTCCATGGTCTTGAACTGGGTCACTTTGGCAAGCTCTAGCGTTTTGGCTGAGGTGATGATGGGGATGCGTTTGGCGATCTCAAAGGCCTTTTGCAGCTTCTCTGCACCTTCTGTCCGAAAGAACTCGTTGATGGCTTTCTCGGTCTTCTTCAGGTGGCTGCTCATCATACACAGGCGGGTGATGTTGAGGATCATGACGATGGTGAAGGCCACGAGGCAGACGACCATGTAGTAGACACCCATGTCTCCGGAGGTGAAAATGACTCTCAGCGTCACTGTGTTGTTCACAGTACCATAGACATTAGAAGCCACGCACGTGTATTTACCTCGGTCAGAGAAAGACACCTTGGTGATGTTCAGGAGACCACCGTCGATCATTTGCCATTTTCCTGTTGGAAGGGAAAGGACAGGACACACAGACCCATCAGTCAAAACTTACACAGCTTAAACGGCAGTGGGGACTATATACCTCATGCCCTTCCCTTGCTATGGGCCAGGGACATGCCCCACATCATTTGGCCATGGTAATACCCTGTGGGGAAGTACTAATATGCCCCCCATTTATAGAAGGGGAAACAGGCACAGCCAAATGCTCTTCCAAGGTCACCTGTTTGAAAGTAGTGAAACTAGAAGATGAATTTGTACTCTCAAAAGACTCTTCTCCTTATTCTTTATTTTCTTGTTTTCTGGCAGTGGGATCAACTGAAAAGTCTTATACAGGCCTGGCAAGAACCTACCACTATGCTACATCCTCAGCCACAGGTTACCTTGCTAACCAACAAACCATATTGTGCAACTCCACATCCTAGTAGACACTGAGAGAAATAATCTGGAAAACACTGTGCTTTCAAGAAAGAACTTGCTAACTATATAACTAGGAACTTTTAAATTAACGTGAGCTGGTGGCTCACGCCTGTCATCCTAACTACTCAAGAGATTGAGATCTGAGGATCAAGGTTCAAAGCCAGTCTGGGATGAAAAGTCTATGAGACTTTTTTTTTTTTGGTTGGTTGTGGGGCCTGAACTCTGGGCCTGGGCGCTGTCCCTCAGCTCTTCAGCTCAAGGCTAGCATTCTACCACTTGAGCCACAGCGCCACTTCTGGCTTTTTCTGCTTAGGTGGTGCTGAGTAATTGAACCCAGGGCCTCATGCATGCAAAGCAAACACTGTACCACTGAGCCACCTTCCCAGCCCCTGAGAGACTCTTATCTACAAGCAACCACCAAAAACTGGAAGTGGAGCCATGGTTCCAGAAGTAGAGTGCCAGCCTTGCCTTGTGTGAAAAAGCCAAAGTGAGTTTGTGAGGCTCTGAGTTCAAGGCCCACTACCAGAGTAGGTCTCTGATTTTCTAGCCCTCTTATATAAGCATGACTAGTGAATGCATTTTTATGAGAGTAACCTGCCTTTCAGAACATAAAGCATTTTATTTATTAACTTTTTATGTAGTGTTTTGTGTTCCTCCCCTGTGTGTGTGTGTGTGAACATCTTTTATGGTCCTGAATAAAGGTCTCTATGCAATGAGCTTGAAATTAATTCCTGGCCTGAGCCAGGTAGCCCCTGGAAAACATGATCCTGGGTTTGGTGCCAGGGTGTTGGGCTGGAGTCAGAAATGAAAGCCTACTAGCTCTCAATACTGCTGTCCCTGGAAGAGGGAGGAGTAAGGCCTGGCATATTGGGACTTCTAAAAGCTCTCTCATTCCCTCAGCCAACCAGAGAAACCTCTCTTGAGAATGGTAACAATTTAACATGGAGTTCCCTTTTTATTCTACAGTGTATTTTACTTATTTCTTCCCCTGGTGGTAGTGACTTTTATTTCTAATAAAAAGCCTAATACTTACTCAAATCAGCATACGTTTAAAAAAAAAAACCTCAAGGACACATAAGTGACCAGGTTTCAATGGACTATGGATTGAGGGAATAAAAGCTTTTTTCATTCCTAACAGAGTAACAGTAACAGAGTTTAAACTCAGGCCCTTAAACTTGGTGTTCTGCCACTACAGCTACACCTCCAGCCCTTTGTGCTTTAGGTTAGTTTTCAGATTAGGATCTCATGCTTCTTGTCCAGGCAGGCATTGGGCCAAGATCTTCCTGAGCCCTGTCTCCCAAGCAGCTAGGTCTACAGGTGTAAGGCACAATGCCTGGCCCCAAGGACTAAAGAGACTAGAGGGAATTAATGTAGTACCTTCCTGGGGCCATAGCTTCTCCCACTTGCTGGATGTGGTAAAACTGGCATGAAGCTTCCTCATAGACGAGTTTACATTACTTTGCCTTCTGAAAGACCATCTGTGAAGGGAAGTTCCTGGTATCCCAGAATAACCCTTTCCTAACAATTCAGCCTGTGCATTTTCCCTCAAGAGTAGAAAGCATTGGTTTGGAAAGACTAGTATTTGTCAGTGTCTTGAATGTGCGTACACAGGCAGACAGCACCAAGCCTGTGGTGTTTCCCTGTTCAGATGGGACCCAGCAAACCTTCTACCACTGCCATTCCCCGTGCATGAACTTCCATCCTTCAGCAGCAGATTTAGGGCAACATATAATGACACAAGCTCAGGGAACTTGCTTGATCCACTTGTTTTCCTGTAATCTTCACATTTCATAAAGCAGACTATAGCAGTCATAGGAAAAAAAATACCCCCGTTGGTGGGAAACTTATTCTGTATGGAAGATACTGGATTTTAAAGACTTGGACTAGCCTTGCAGAAGTTTCTTTGTCTTCCTTTATTTTATCTTTCTTCTTTTGTTGGAAATCACAGTAGGAACTAGGGTGAAGGTAGGATAGAAGGTGGGTTATTTGTATAAAGGATGATTCAGATCCATTTGTTTGCGTCTTCCCCTGCCCCACCCTTTAAGTGGAGAAACTATCAATAAACACCAAGACAGAACATTTCTATGTACTTGGCACAGAAGGAAAGCAGTACAGAATACGAAAGTATGAAGCAGGTACACACAGTGCTATTGCTGACTGGTTTAAACTAGCTGTGTGGAATGTCAATATAGCTTTAGATTTTTGTGCAGCTGCATCATGTTAGTGCGAATAAAAACCTGAGGTTGGCATAGCTTATGCCAACTCAGTTTCATATGTAACAATTTGAGAAGCAATTAAAAAGAAAGGCAGATGGCTGGGCACTGGTGGCTCACCCCTGTAATCCTAGTTACTCAGGAGGCTGAGATGTGAGAATCATGCTTTGAAGCCAGTCTGTGCAGGAAAATCTGTAAGACTCTTTAAGCTACCAAAAAAAAAAAAAAAAAAGCCAGAAGTGGAGCCGTGACTCAAGCCTGGAACACAAAAGCTCAGGGACAGTGCCCAGGCTCTGAGTTTAAGACCGGCATCAAAGAGGAAAAAAAGAGAGAGAGAAAGAGGTGTATAACCATTACGCCTTGAATGTAATACGAAAGCCGCTTCCCTAGCATTCTTCCCATTGCTTCGCTTGTTCACTTCCTGTATCTTGCTCCTTCCCTTCGGCCGCCACTTCTTCCACAGCTGTCTTGTGAGGTGATACACATGAGGTGTTAGGCTAAAATACCGACACATGCATTATTGTAAGACTAGAAGTGGCCCAGAAATTAGTCACAGTCTCCCCCAGAAACTCTAAGCACAAGTCAGGTGAACATCTCCCTCCCACATGTGACTGCAAATGTTGTGGTGGCAACCTCTCTCTCCTCTGCAAAGAGAAAAGCTAGCAGATGTTGTTTCTGAGCTGCGCTGCAGCGTGTGTGTGTGTGTGTGTGTGTGTGTTATGCTGCACAACAAAGCTGACATTTTAAGAAGAGCAACGATCTTTTAAATCCTGTTCACTCATTCAGTCAACAGATATCACTGAACAAATTGTCTGTGTTCCAGGCTCCATGCTTAGATGATGAGAATACAAAGATGAGTAAGAGCCAGTTTCTGACTTCAAAAATCATCCAGTCCCCATAGGGAAATAGATTCCAAGAGACAGCTCCAGTCTTGCCTGCCAAGTGCAATGGCATGCGAGGAGATGTGAGTGGGAAGAGGCACAGGGCTTCCTAGAAGAGGCCAGCCAGGTAGAGAAGGTGGGAAGAGGAAAGGAGTAAGGAGCAGGGTCTCTCAGGACCAGAAAAGGAGGGTAGAGTCAGGGAGCCCAGGAGCAAGACAGAACACAGTGTGACAAACCATGTATGAAACCAGGCAGGGCTTGGATGGAGACAAGGCTTGCTAGGAATGCAGAGTCAGACTACACGAGGCCCAATAGTGTGCAAAGGCTTCATATCTTCTCTACAAGAGAATGGGAGCCCCTTGTGCATCTGTACCACCTTTTTTTACCTGACTGTTCTCAGGCAGCCTTGCCTTATTTAACATCGTAGGCCACAGGACCTTCCTACCTGCTTCCTCTCTGCGTGGCATGCTCTGCTTCTCTGAATACCCTGCTCAGACATCCCTTTACTCAGTTCAGACCCCGCCCTGGTGTCTCACCTCCTTCCTAGAGAAAGCCTGACCCAAATGAGGCAGAGGAGAAAACTTGAAAGTCTGGAAGCAGATAAAGCTAACTGTAGACATTTTAAAAATAACACTGTGGCCTTACTGAGATGTGGCTGATCATGAGAAAAGAATAAAAGGCGAATCTCTATTTTATGTGATACATACAAATAAGTGCCAAGCACCCTGAAGATGCAAGTATAAAATTAAAGTATAGAATTAATAGAGGACATAAAAATAATTCTTACAAATCTCTGACAGGCAGGTTTTTCTAAGCGTTAAAAAAATCGCAGAAGTTCTAAAGAACACTACTAATGGATTAGATTAAAATTATTTTTGTACTATACAATATATTAATTAGAAAAAAATTACTCAGCTGGGTGTTAGTGGCCCATGCCTATAATCCTAGCTACTCAGAAAACTGAGAGCTGGGAATCACAGTTCAAAGCCAGTCTGGGCAGGAAAGTCTGTGAGACTCTGATCTCCAGTTAATCACAGAAAAAGCCAGAAGTGGCACTGTGACTCAAGTGGTAAAGTGCTAACCTCAAAAGGAGCCAGTGGCCAGGCTCAGAGTTCAAGCCAAATGACTGAAAAAAAAGACTGGGAGAAAATTCAAATGCTTAATGACTATAAAATATAAAACCCCTATGAATTTAGAAAGCCAAGACAAAAACCCTAAAAAAAAATGAAAACAGGACATGAACAGGTAACTCACCAAAACAAGAATTGCAAATGGTGTCAAAGTGTATAAAGTCATTATTGATAAACTGTAGTAAAATTAAAAGAGATAAGCTGTTCACCAGTGTGGCTTATGCCTGTATTACTAGCCAGTTGGGAGGTTGAGATCTGGTTTTATGGTTCCAAACTGGCCCAGGTGGAAAAAAAAAATCCAAAGGACTCATCTCCAAAATAACCAGCAAAAAGCAGAGTTGGAGGCATGGTTCAAACGGCAGAGTACAAGCTGGGCAAGCAAGCTAAGTAAGAGTGAGGCCCCGAGTTCATGATCCAGTACTGTCAGAAATAGTTAACACACATACACATATCATGAGATCAGAATAATATTTTAAAACATAACTTTCACCTTTCCAGACTGTCAAAATGAAGAGGGGCACTGCTGGCAATCATGTGTTGGGAATGTGTAGAAAAACCTACCCCCCCATCTATTGCTGAGAGGGGTTAGGTTGCCAACACATTATGAAAGTCAATTGGGAAGCATCCATCAAAATTTAAACTGGATATAACCTACGACCTACTTTTAGACTTCTTGAAATTCATTAAATCAGTCAAGCCTAGACCATCTGGGAAAACATTAATGAATGCAACAAAATGAAGATAATTAAAAAAAATTCTCTTCTTCAGATGAATGTTTCCAGAGCTTTCCTTCCCTGCTAGCTGCCTCTAGGAGAAGCTGATACTTAGTCTCATTCCAGGAAGGCAATTGACCTGGCTCACTGTGCTCAGCATGGTGGCATGTGCAGGTAATGGTGTTAAGCAGGACAGGGCCAACAATGAGAACAGCAGCATCCTAGGGCTACAGTTAATCCTGTAAACAGCAAGAAATGCTCTGGTACGGGGTGCCCGTGACTCGACATGAAGCCAACATATGGTACCATCTGAACTATCACTCACACAAACACCCTCTGACCAAATTATTCCTGAGGAGACGTGAGCAGAATCAACACGTCCAGGAACTGAAGAACCATAGGGAAAGCATGAACATTAACCCCCACAGACTCCGCAATGACTGCTTTTCCCCAAACTCATGTTTACTGAAATTCTAACTCTTCCCAGCTCTTCCTGATCATCACTGAGCATTAAAAATTAACACTGTACCCAAACGCTAAGCTCTTACAACTTCCCACAAATTATTCATTCAAAAGAAAGGACATTTTTTTCCCCCTCAGAGACATTCTTCTGTGGAAACCAGCTGATGCATGGTTCATCTATATTTCCAATGAGTGTTATAAACAGACTAAAGCTCTCCTCACAACCTCCTTAAGAAACTTGGCCTCTCAGGCCTTCAATCTGCCACAACATGTATGATGTTTTCTTGAAATCAACTTCAGTTATTCAGGTGGTGAGGGTTCCAATTCATGTAATTTATGCAAACATCAACAGAACATCCTCTTGAGTGACTGCCACACTGAACTGATTCTCTTCAAGCAAGCAGAAAATGAATACATGACTTTGTGCCTATGAACGTGGTGCCTATTTCACACGAGGTGAAATTCAGATGCCTGAAGAGAAAGGACATATACCTTTTCTGTTGTTTTTGAAACGTAACTCAACACACACTTAGCACGGCATGGCTGCACCTGTTACAAGGCATCGGTTGCAGACAGCTCTCTGAAGGCACTGCAGAATCAGGTTATAAACTCCACAAGCTGCAAGGGCCCTTGTGCCTCACACCCTCAATCCTCCTAAGAGAGCTCTTCAGAAAGTGCTCGGGCAGTCCTAAAAGGCTACTTCCTACAGCATGTGGAATGCCCCTGACCTGGGATAATGCAGCTCACTTCAGCTTTTGGCTCAAGAAGGTGGGCATAGAAGGATTTTGCTATTCAGAATCTACAGCTCTGTTTTGCGTAACGGTATGAATATCTGAAAAGATCCTACTGCCTTATTATATCTTAGAAAAGGACACTTCTGATCCTCTAGCTAATTTGATCTTTTTGTTTTGTTTTAAAGGAGAAACATGTAATTTCACGAGAGCTAGCAATAATCTTTCCTGGGAAGAACTACAAGTGGTCTTCCAAAACAAAAGCGCCCTCCCCTGGCTTCCTATAAATAACTTCTAGTTTGGGGGGAATCTTGGTTGTTATCCTGATCTGAACTAGATCTGGAGGGGTTCTTTTCACTGCTAAGACAAGCTGTGTGGGCTCACATTCCAAATGGAGCCCATCTCACTAAGGAAACACAAAAAAGAAAAAAAAAAAAGGAAAAGAAAAGTTGGGGCTGGGAAGGTGGCTCAAAGGTAGAGCGCTTGCCTTGCATGCATGAGGCCATGGGTTTGATTCTTCAGCACCACAAAAGCAGAAAAAGCCAGAAGTGGGGCTGTGGCTCAAGTGGTAGAGCTCTTCAGCTCAAGGCTGAAGAGCTGAGGGACAATGCCCAGGCCCAGAGTTCAGGCCCCATGACTGACTATAACAAACAAACAAAGAAAGGCAAAGTCTATGAGCTCTTTAATAGCCTATTCTAGTACCATGGTTCTAATATTTTTATGAGGAGGAATCTTTCACTTTTGATATTTTCCTTTTTTAACTTTTGAGATTTTCTATGTACTTTTTAGTTGTAACACTGTGTGTATTACCCCATGCTACTTATGCTCTGGAATTACTATTATTATGCACTTGTAATTATAAAGGCCGAGCTGGAACATCAAGTTACTAGTACTATGAGTCATTTTAAAAACTGAAAATGCATTTTCTTTAGGAGATTTTTAAAAGGAAATTGACTTATATCGGCAAGGCCTCTATCGGCAAGGCCTCTAGCTACAAAGAAGGGGAGTGCTGAATTCTGATGGAGCAGTTCTGCCTGCCAAAGGCGTTCCAGCAGCTACCTTGTAATTTACTGATGGGCCACTATTACAGGCCACCTTGGTCTCACAATGAAAGATAACTGAGCCTCATGTGACTGGGTCTGAACTCTTCAATATTTATATGAAGATGCCAATGCACAGTGTCTGTCTGTCTTCCAAGACAAAGTCCATAGCTACAAGGGCCTTTTCAATTAAGACACTGCAGATTTCTCTGAGACAGCATGCTCAAACATGCTGACAGAAATTAAGGTCCCAACTCTGTTGTTCCTATACTTTTCTTCTTTTTTTTTTTTCAGTGCTATGTCTTTAACATACAGGAATAACCTTTGCTTCATGGTCCAGGTGAAAGGGAGATTCACATCTTGAATCCTTGTTCCCCTCAGTCATCCTGACATCCCTAGCGGTGGTCCCACCCTATAAAAAGACCTGATTAGGTAGATATAGGGGTTTGAGTGTGGAAGTTACCATGGCTACAGCCCTCACTTCCCAAGAGCGATGTTACCTTGTTTTTGACTCATGGTCCATGGAGGAAACATCTATGGGGATGGAAAGGAGTCTGGGCTAGGGGTGATGTTTCCTCATCTCTTCACTGTCAGTTATGAAGGGTCTAGTCATAGCCACTTAATGAGCAGCAGGACCTCTAGCAAATTTCAGTCGGCATTTTATGGTCCCTTAATTTTACAGGATTAGGAATTCTCCTAGATCAAACATACATATAATTCATAGTACATAATATTTTGATGTAAAGGATCAGCTTTACTATACCCTACAGCATTGGATGGCTAAGCAAGAGCAATGTCAGTGTCATGGTGACAGCCAGACCCCCATAACACAGGCAGCTAGGCAACCCCACTGGAAACACACGGGAAACCGGAATCATGTAATTTTGAGAAACTCCTAAGGAGATAGAAGGTGTTCATTTCTATCCTTCCTCACAGCAATTAAGATAAAATGAAGGAAAGAGATTAAAAATGTAGGTTTTCCTAGAGCAGAAACCCTTCTGAGGATTGTTCATTGGTTAAAAGGCTAAGGGATGGGAAGAAAGGAAGAAGCTGCTATTTCTGAACAATGGTTTCTTTACTTTCCCACCCCCAGTGGCCTGCTGAGGAAAGTAGATTAACTCCTTCAGGTCAATGAGACCAGACTAGTGTTTTCAGACAATTACTTCTCACATCTAAAACAAGAAGTGCATTGATCCCAATCCTCTCTTTGGCTGGAGTCTTTCCTGAAAAAGCTCAGGGCTTACAAATGGGAGTTACACTTTTTGGTCCCAAACTCATTCATTAAAAAACAAGCATTCTACCTTTGCCTCTCGTTACTTGTTACTATTGCATTCCCCTTTCCTCTGGACCTCAGCCCAGAAACTTCAGCCATGTCCCCCAGGAACCCACAATGATCCCACTGGGTGGTTGGGAATTTGCACAGAGACTTCTTTTAAGAAGTGTGGTCTTCAAATGCACAGTCAGTGAATTAAAGTGACATTTAATGATAAACAACTGCTACTGTGTTTATTTGAGCCATTTCTCTGTGAGACCAAAAAACTCTCTTACAAATGAAACCTGACAGGGGAAATCCATCTTACATCTGTCTCTAATGTTTTGAATGCATTATAAAATTCCAAGTCACTTTGTAAAAGGACTGCAATGTTTGCCCTTTGTTTTCTGCGCCAGTGAATAGAAACCAAAAGAATTAATACTGCTTTGAATCTTTGAAGATATATATTATTCTCTTTTGTTTTTGCCTTTGTTAAACAAAAAGATGAATTGCATGAGACATCTAACAATCAAGGGTGCTAACTCTCACATCCATGTTTACAATCAATGACAATTGATAGAACTTTAAAGCTTACCTCCTCCTTTTTCCTTCTCACTGTCTTCTTTCAGCAGCTTGCCAATGGAATTATACCACTTAAACTGCGGGTCAGGGATGCCATAAACACTACAATTAATCAAGGCACTGTTCCCTTCCTTGACTATGATATGGTCAGTTCTGGCAATGATTACGGGCACAGAGCCCAAGACCGCGTCAGTGCCATTTAAAGTGCTGTTACCGACACTCTTAGCAGTTGCTAGAGTGGACACTAGGATTAGAAAGGGCACAGAAGGTAGAAAGCACACAGTCAGATGGTTCTTCAACAGATCCATCTTCTTAGCTTGTTCGGTAAGGCAATAGATGGTTTGCCAATGGAATCTTCTATCAGAAAACACACTGTTCAGAGCAGGCCATGGGACAAACCTGTCCTGGATCCATGGAGGTGGTGCTTGACTAAGAATCTGTTAAAGAAAGAAAGAATCTGTTAAAAACAAAAATGACATACCAATAAACATGAATACTTATAAATATGAACATTTATAATACTTTTTGTAAAATATAGCAATCCAGCTAAATTATGAACCTATATAATTCTTAAAACATTCAGAAAAGATTCCAATGTTAAATTTCATTTAAAATAAATAACAGCATAACTTGCTTTTGTATTAAAACATATAGTTCTTAACAGGACCAGATATATTTCTTATGTTACACTGATGTCATCTTACTTCAAGAGTTCTACATTGATTTGGGGGATAGCTCAGTGGTAGAAAGATTACTAAGCATATATGTTCAAGGCTGTAGGTTCATCTCCAGCACTGGGGGGATGCGGTGGGAGGAGGAAGATTTGGGATTCTTTTCATTGTGTATTATAAGGTCTCTTCTGACCCCACCAGCTGTCTTTCCTGTGGATGGCCTGAATATTTACCAAAGCGGTGTCTCAGCCCTTCCCATCTATTACATTGGTCCCAGCTCAAACTCTGCTGGCAATATGAAGAAGTTCAGAATCAGCCTGGCATCCTTGTAACTGCCCTTGATAGCACCCAGGGTACATAACTGCACGTGCGCCTGTGAACTCCACAGCTTATTCCTTGTCTGTATTCTGGTTTCCTGATACTCACTCACAGAATTCCCTGGGTATGATCTTCATCTGCCTCCCAGAGCCTTGTGAACTGCATCAGGATGTATGAGATGACTTTTTATGGGTGACTATACTTCTATGTCCAAAGATCTAACCTTCACCCTGTTCCTAAATTCTCCATTTTATCTGGTATCCTAGGGTAACACCCAGCCCTCCAAATTCTAAGTTCTGAAGTTCCAAGTAATTACTGAGTTCTAATAAGCCATCTTTAGTTGTAGCGAATCATTCTTCCAGGTCCCTTAGCTTCCTCACTTGGCTTTCTAGCTCTTCTGTTTTTCTTGATCTCTGTCTCCCACCCTACCTGTTTCCCACCCTATTTCTGTTTCAGTTCAAGTCAATCACATTCTCCAAGTGCTTGCTAGGCCCTTGGTGATACCTGGCAATGTTTGCCTATGCTCAATCAGTTCATATTCTTTTCTCATAATACTTACAGACATTTTCAGCTGCAGAATCAACCATCAGTGTACATATAACCATCAGTGTACATACAACCAATGTACAACCAACAGTGTGCATACAAGCAACCAAGACCAGTGTTCTCCTAATTATGGCTATCTTCTCAATTTCTGGAAAACATTCAGTATCTTAAACTCATTTCCTCACTTGCCATTTACTCTCCATACTACCATTTTCTATTTCTAAAACAGCTCTTTCTCAGGGAAGTTAGGCTTGCAAAGTTTATTCCTTCCTCTTACCAAATACTTAATTGACACAAGTAACTATTCTTTCTCAAAACTTTTTCATCATTTCCTTAGCTTCTCCTGATTGCTCTCGACAGTCTTTAGTCTTTGCAAGTTCCTCCTCTTTTCACTCCTTAAAGTTAGTTAACCCCTAGAGTTGGGCCTTCTTCTTCTTCAAAAAAAAATGTAAGCTAATTTGCCTGCCTCCCTCCTTTCTTTTCTTTTTTTTTTTTGTGTGTGTGTGTGTTGGTACTGGTGCTTAAACTCAGGCTACTCTCTCTTAACTTTTTCATTCAAGGCTGGTACTCTATCACTTAAGCCACACTCCCACTTCTGGCTTTTTGCTGGCTAACTGAAGAGACTCATGTACTTTTCTGCCCAGACTTCCTTCAAATCTCAGTTCTCGGATCTCAGCCTCCTGAATAGCCAGGGATACCGGCATTAGCCATGCCGTCAGGCTACCCACAGTTAACTTTCTAAAGTTTTATCCCATGCCTTTAATTCTCATTCATAACCTCCTCATCCCCATACCCTTGTCCTCAGTCCTGACTCTTCTTTGGGTTTCAGGTTGATATTACCAACTTCCCACTGGACATCCTGACCTGTGTGTTCTGCAGATCACTCAAAACTATTGTTGTAAAGGAAACACATTGTCTTATATGCAGAATATGATGTGTTTCATTTCTTGAATCTCTTCTATCATCCAGGGGACCCTCCTCAGTGCAGGTGTGTATAGGGATATCCTCAATTCAGTGGTAGCCCGTATCCTCCCAGAATGCTGTGTTTCTCCTCTTAACCCTTACTTAGATCTGTACCATCCTTGTCACTTTCTTTCATGATGGGCAATCTTTCTCCGATCCCCATGACCACTGGTAAAGTTACCAATGCACACTCCAAATCATGCAGCACCATTCCTTTCCTTGGCAGTCCTCAAGGTCTCCCTGTCACCTATGTTATGGCATGGCAGTATGTATATGCCTATCACTTCCTTACTTTTGTGCTTCTCAGAAATACTTACTGGACATCTACTAGGGTGCAAAGCACTATTCTCAGTCCTAGAGATGCCAAGAGTAGATCTTCATGTTTTGGGAGATTACACTCTCATGGGAGAAGCAGTAAATAAGCGTATGTATAAACAAGGATTTCAGTTAGTAAAGGATGCGTTGAAAAACACCAAAAAGCTCTGGGTGCTGAGTCAAGCAGGCAGGACTTCACTGGGAAGGTGGCCCCTGAGCTATGACCAGTGATGTCAATACATGGGAGGTAAGTACTGCAGGAGGAAGGAAGAAAAGCAAAGACACTGGTAAGAAAGCAAGGGTCCGTTTAATACCAGATGCCTTAGGGAAGTAGACAGGCCACTTAGGGTTCCAAAGCCAAAGGATGAAATTGGGATCTTACATAGTTCATCAGGAAATTTTAAGCAAGATAGCTTCAGGATTTGGTTTCCTCTTAATGAACTTTACTGTGGTATAAGGTACCCACAATAAAGTATGACCACTTTAGATAGGGATTTCGGTGAGTTTTTTGGTAAGTTATCAGCCCTGTAACTGCCACAATAAATGAGGTGATTTCCTTCACCACCAAAGTGCCCTTGTGCCCTGCCCCAGTGTTAGCTTTCCTGATTCAGTCCAGTTATTTTTGTGTGTACCCCCAAGGGTGAAGGCTCCACACCATCTTTGGAAAACACTAGTCTTTCTCCAGCAGATTATTTTGCTATCTTGTCAAAAATGATTGACTGGATGTGGGTGAATCTATTTCTAAACTCTTTTCTTTTGTTCCACTGATGGATATATCTATCCTTAGGACTAACCTTCCTATATACATCATTTATCTTTGTATCTGCAGAGTCCAATGTTGCCCTTGACACATAGGGTGCTCAATGGATTCATTTGGTGACTGACTGGAGATATCTTGATGGAAGAAAAAACTATTACTCCAATTCCATATGCATTCATTCCCAATGAAGAGATACCTAGTAGCAGTAAGTTAGCTTCAGACAGCACATATCTTCAGTAGGAGAGAAGAGTGTTAGTGCTGTGGATTTCCTTCCTTTCCCCTGGATTCAAGCGGCTTCCTGCCCTCATGAGGCCAGCAAACTTCCCCACCAGCACAAACATGGTGGCCAAGGGAGATAGCACAAGCTGCAACGGCGCGATAGACATTGCTGGGACTCTGAAAGTGGCTGTCTTTACTTGGCTGAACTTGTGGTTTCCTTTCTTCAGGGTGGTTGTAAGCCCACATATTCAATACAGAAAGAATTAGTAGGAACATGGCTTCAGGTTTTAGACAAGGCCCGGATCCTGGTTCTAGCCACTTTTATTGTCTGCATATTTTTGTTGAAAAGACAGGGTGACTGTAAGGGCTCACAATCAAATACCCCTTGGCTTGGTAAATGAGAACAAGAACAAAGAGAGGGGTACTATGGTGCTATGACATTTTAGTAATGTCAATCAGTCCTTTGGCTACAATCATATTGGCTTTTGAAACGCAGCCAGTGTTTTAGAGTCCTGAAGATGCAAAGAGACAGAGACTTGCATTTTAGTGCAAGTTAGTTAGCAAACTAGTTCCTCCCCTCCCCTCATTTCCTCATTCTTACTCCTATCTTATCCCACTGAGAGGAGCAGAAAACATAATGTGTAATTTACAGAAATTCATTTTTGAAAATAAAGCATCAAATCAATTAAGAATCAGGAATTAGTAGTTTAGAAAGATTTCACTATATCCATATACCAAGCGCTTTCAGTTCTAATTCTAAAGAGAGAAATGAAGAGAGAGGGAGGGAAGGAAAGTAGAGAGAGAAAGAATGAGAGAGAGAGAGAGAGAGAGAGAGAGAATATTTTCATATGCTGGGCGTTCTGCCAGGACTTGGGGGATGGGCACAATAAATCAATAAATCCCGTCTAGCTGCGGGGTGGGGAAGATGAGATGGGTAAGTTCAGCATGGCTTCCAGGTGCTATAGCACTGGCCAGCCTGGGCACTGCCTAAGGTTGTTTGCTAAATGCCCATCAAGCACCTATCTACTCCTCTCACTTCTTCTTGCTACAGGTCTCAGGATTTGTAGAGGGTCTGGTCCTTCTAAGCTCTCCATGATACAGTGTGTACCAAACTTCATTCTCTCCTCTTACCATATGATCCTGAACTCTTCTGTTTCTCATTGAGCAAATGCCCCATTACAAAGGAGAGTTCCTGGGTGGCAGAAATCTGCAAATAGACTGTAGTAGTTCTTTCCTACTAGATACCTGGAGTAAAGACACACTCAGGTAGGATCAGTCTAGAAGCAATTGTTTAAGTAAATTACAACCCACTCAAAAAAATTAAAATGCACCTTGTGACTTCGGGTGCTAGGAAAATATTCTACAATTTTTTTAGCTTACCAGACTGGGATCTTAGACAAGATCATGAAAAGTTTGGTTCATAACTGTCTAACTTTATGAAAGACAATTCAGCTACTAAAGAGTAAACTTTAAGTACTATAATCCAGCAGCTTACACTGTAGTCCTTTAAAAATACAAGAACAAAGACCACAGATTTCAAAACCAGGGTTTAACAATAGCTACAATGGACAAATTGTTAAGCTTCATGGCTTGCTCATGGCCTTTGGGAAAAATTCCATAGAATATTTTCTAAAAGGGCAAA